CTAATGCTCTTACACAAGAAGAGGGTTTATCTATATTTAACAATTGCTGATTAATAGCATTCTAATTGCATTTAGAATTTAAAAATCCTAACTAGAGGCCATAAAAATTGCTGACACTTCACACAGTAAAGCAGCACAGAGTACTTGGATAGTCATTTAACTATTAATTGCATGTGTTTTGTTCAGTTGGTGTGGAGGTTCTTTGTATTATTTTTGCTCCTATTTATTACATTTGTTTATGCAAAACAGAACAGTGCCTGGTGCATGTCAGTGAAAGTTAACTTTTTTGTTTGTATAATATGAAGCATGAAAATTGCATGCATGAAATTATTTCTTTGTTATTCTTTAAAGAAGGAATATATTTTCTGTCCCTTTTATAATGTTTTCCCCTGTAATGCTTAAAGGAACATTTCTGAAAATGTTTTCTAATTTTGACCTGGACACTTTCATCTTAATCAAAGTTTAATAGAGAATACTACCATTGTTAAGTCTCACTGTTATTTGCAGAGGGATTTTTTTATTAATTACTAAAGTTGGAGATGATATTTATGGTCTTTATGACTCTTGGGCTTTGATGAAAATGAAAGCCTTTTTTCTTCTTTGATCTCCTAAATTTAGATTGCCAGACTTTTAAAAATAGAAGAAGGCAAGATTTTTCTTATTTGAAGCATAGCAATAACTTAAAATATCAATAATTTCTCGTCTTGGGCTATCTTTTTACTATTTAGAGTAAATTTTGCACTTTTAAAAATTGTTACAATGAATAATATCTGTATGGCATGAATTCTTTATAAAACATTGATATTCCTTTGTGGCCTTGCATAGAGGTTAGATAACTTCTCCTTAGTGTGGACCACATAATAAATATTTTAATCTTTTGGGGCAAGAACTAAAATTGATGCTGTTATGTAAATATTTATAAAATATTCCATATGCAACCATTTAATAATATAAAAACCAATTTCAACTTGTGAACTATAATAAAGAGGTTACATTTTTCTTTCAGATCACAATTTGTTAGCCCCTCCTCAAAAAGATGATTAATTTTTGTGAGAGTTGTGAGTCAGATTTGTGAGTTAATGCAATTAGTTAGAAACTCTGGACCTACAACATTATCATTTTTGTTATGGCTATTGTTTAAAAAATAGTAAAAGTTTTTAAATGCTTTCCATGAATTAGGCACTATGGTCAGTATTATTACCTGAATCATTCCAAATATTATTTCTCCCATCCATGGTTTCTATTTTGATTTTATTAACATTTTTAAATGGATCATGTTTTTAGTATTTAAATTTAAGAAACTTTCTCAACCAAAGGTCATAAAAATATTTTCTGTTCATTTGGAGAAGTTTTTAGTTTTAAGCTTAAAATTTAGGTCACAATCTGTTCTGAGAGTTTTTTTGTATATGGTGTGAGTTATGGGTAAAGTTCATTTTACAGAATGTGGATTTTCAATTTTACCACCATTTCTTGGAAATAATATTTTTTTCTCTATTAAATTTTCTTCGTAGTTTTCTCAAGAATACCTTTAACCATAAATGTGTGGGGCTATTTCTGGACTTTTTAAATTTCCTTGATCTGTGTTGGTCCTTATGCTAGTACCACTCTCTCTTATTTTTAGTACTTTTTAAATGATATAGTGTAACTTCTCCTTTTTTGTTCTTTTCAAAGTGGAAACAATTCTCTTTCTACAAAAAATATTCTTTTGGGATTTTTGATTCAGGGAATTTTTGAATCTATAAGTTGAATTTGGAAGAGAATTTATATATCAACAATATTGAATCTTTCAGTCTGGTAACATTGAGTCTCTTAGTTTACCAAACGAGGTCATCTCTTCATTTATTTCTCCCTGATTTCTTAACACACATACACACATTGTTTTTAATATGCATAGTTTATTGATACTTTGAAGTATTTCTCTACAAGTTTTTTTTTTGGTTTCTTTTTCTTGGTTTTGATATTTTTATTATTTTGGTTTGTAAGGTTTATTTTTTTTGTTATTGTTTTAGTGAAATCAATTTCCATTTGTTCTTTGCCACAAAATAGTTGTTTTTAAATATTAACCTTGTAAACTTGTTATTTTCCTAAATTTATGTGTTAGTTCTGGTAGTTTTATTGTACATACTCTAGGATTTTCTACACCCAAAATTACATTATCTTAATGGATCCTTTCTTTTTTTCTTCTTGTTGTTTGCTTGCCCCTTGTACTGACTGAAAACTTCAATACAATATTGGAGCCTTGATTTTTACCTTTTATATTTTTTTCCTGTTTCACAGTTTTGTTTGATTTTAATTTTTTAGCATCTTCCACAAAATTGGTTTTTAATTTTCTTGGTTTTTTAAAATTTTGTTTCATTAATTTCTGTATTTTATTGTTTTCTTCTATTTGTTTTAGGCTTGTTTTATTTCAGGGACTGATTTAACAACTTGGTATTAAGTTATTTTCTTTCAATTACTAGGGGATTATCCTCTGTTACTGATTTCTAGTTACCTTTGTGTTCTTGAAAGCATATTTAGTATATATTTGGTTTCTTTTAAATTGAGYTTCTCAATTCTTTAAGTTCATATCTTTCACTGTTCATCCATTATTTCTGCCTCCCATTCTCCCTTCTGTGATTTCAAAGACATTGATGTTAGATCATTTACAATTGTTTCTCTAGTTCCTTGCGCAGGCTCTGTTTATTTTTTTTCCCCTTTGCCAATCCTTTTTCTCTTCATTGGTCAGAGTGCATAATTTCTGTTGGGCTATCTTCAGTTCACTCTGTCATCTCAAATGCTGATATTTAGCCCTTTGAGTGCATTTAAAATTTTTAATGTTTGAATTATACCAGGACTAACATTTCCAGTTGTTTCTGCTTTATAAACTCTTTTTCTTTGCTGAAACTTTCTCTTCTGTTTACTTCAACAGTTCACCTTTACTCTTGGGGAGTTTKTATAACAGCTTTATTAATATCTTTTTCAATCAATTCCTACCTTCTGTGTCATTTTGGCATTGTCATTTGTGTGAGTTGAGATTTTCCCCTTTGTTTATATTGAATAATTTTGGATTATCTTAAATATTTGAACATTGTGTTATGAGATTCTTGATCTTATTTAAATTCTATAAATAATATTGTTTTTAWTTTTTTAAACATTAGTACACAATCTAATTTTGTTCAGGCTACAGATTCTAACTAGTAAACCTTGGAGTTATTATTTTGGCATTTTGGTTTGTAAGGTTTCAGTGTCAGTTGGAGTGTGGTTTCAGAGTCAGTTATTTTCAAAGCTTTTGTCATGCTCTCCAGATCTGTTCTTGACTGTATACTAGAGGCTGGTTTGGGACCTGGATAATGGTCTTAGTTTATTTCTAGGTTTATTTTTCACCCTTTGATGTGCTATTAAGGATCAGTTGTAAACAGGTGCTTCTCAGGGGTGAACTTAGTAATTCATATTAAACTTTATCAAGTTACTTCCTAAGTTTTTGATATTTTGCAATCTCCCATGTGTTTTCTGTTTTTGCTAGGATTTCCTTTTTTTTCTCCACCCTGAAAACTGATGTTTTTTGTTTCTTTTTTTCATTTTTTTTTTTTTTGGCTCTGCTGCATACTTCCCACCACTGCACCCATATCCATTGCAAAGTAGTGTATACTTGAGTACTCTCTCATTCATTGGGGTTTCTGCTTTACASTTGGCAGGAAGATATTTTGATATTTGGGAAAAAGTCAAAATTTTTATGGTCTGTCTTTTCTTACATGTGTATAGGACTGACTATTTTTACATGTAAAGTCATTGAAATTTTATTGAAATGATTATTGTAAAATGTTTCTTCCTTCTTTTCCTCTTTTATACATTTTTAAAAAATGTGATGTTCTGACAACATATGTGCATTTTGTCAGGTTATTGCTTCTAATGGGTGTCGAGCCAAATGACATCACTAATGCAAATATAATTTATTCATGCTGAAATTTTGACAAATACTTAGTCCTTATTGTTGATCAGCATTGTCTGTTGAACTTTTCTACATACATATTCCTGGGCCTAATCCCTAGAGATTCTGATTCAGAGAGTTATGTAGTATAATAGGTAAGGAAGATAATAACTTAAATACTCATCTCTCCTACTAGAACACTCCTTTTCAATACAGGTCATCATTATCTACACCCTGGGAAATCAGAACAAGTATGTCTGAGAAAAATTTGTGATGTTAATGCTCCTTGAAAGTTGCTGAGTGGGTGTTGCTGTTGTGTTTTATCAGGTCATAATCTCTCACCATCAGTCTAAGCATAGTCTGAATCTTTTTTGAATTTGTCTATTTGAATCATTGAACATCTGATTTCTTATTCATAAACCAGTTCAGTGAAGATTGGAAATTAATATTTTCATTTCATTTTCTTTATCATGTTTAAGGTCAAAGTGTTTAATTTGTTCACCGTTTTTATTGAAGTACAACACACAATCAAGTAAAGTACTTAAGATGTACCAACCTTAATTGTACAGCTTGAATTTTTCATATGTATGTTTATATAAAAACCACAGAGGCAAGACATAGACTACTTAGTTTTGTCATAAATGGGAGTCATGAATAGGTATTCTCATGTATCTAGTATTCTTTAATTGAATGATTTTTATAGCTAAGCTTTTTTGAGTTATTTAATATTATTATTTCTGACTCCTTTATACCAAAACACATTTAAAGAGGGAAGAATCAATTGACTTTTACGCTGTTTCTTTGCTGTGGTAATCTCAAAATTCTTTAGGAAATTTTACAGACTCCAATTGTAGCTCTAAAGCATTCAGTGATTTTCTGCTTTATCATTTATATAGTATCTGTTATTTATTTCCACAGGTTATTCTTGCCCTTGGTTCACTTTTTTTCCCCTTCTGTTGGTACAGAAATGAAAAAGGAGATTTCTAAAATCTTATCTCCCATTTTTCTTCTAGGATATGATTTAGGTGAATTCAAATTGAAGTGATTTTCTGCATTTATTGTATTAATCTTSTCTTTTTGTTCTTTCTGACAGCATGATGGAAGTGGGTCATTGCATGATATTCAGCTATCATTGCCATCTAGTCCCGAACCAGAAGAAGGTGATCAGATATATAAGGTATGACTAGATAGTCATGCTGAAGATTTCAGAATTCTTATTACTAAAATAATAAAGCAGAACCAATTAAAATTTTGAATAATAAGAATTATTAAAAACCTAGAACTTGCTATCTTGTGAAATAATTGTTTGTTCTTAAATTCTGCTGCTTTGTTAAAATAATAATATCCCATTTTATCAGATCATAATGGAACGAAATTAGAAATCATTTAAGATAAAAACAATAACATCTCAAATATCTGGACACTAAATTATACACCTTTGAATGGTGAATGGATAGTATAAGAAATCAGGGAAATAAATTAGAATACTGATAACAATTTATCAGAATTTTCTAGGAAAGTATGAAGGCATTTCTAAGAGGAAAGTATATAGCATTGAGTTCATACATCAAAAGAATAGAGATACCAAATAAATAATCTAACATTACATCTCAAGGCCCTAGAAAAGAAGAACTAAACCAACACTAAAATCAGAAGAAGTCAGGGAATAATTAAAATCAGAGCCGAAATCAATGAAATTGTGGATTAAAAAAAAACAATACAAAAGAGAAACAAAGAGTTGTTTTTTTGAAAGGGTAAACAAGTTTGATAACCCTTAGCCAAACTAACCAAAACAGAGAGAAAACATTCAAATTCAAAATTCAAGATGAAAAAGGAAATATCACTATAGGATACTACTAAAATCCAGAGGATCATCAGAAACCATTTTGAAAATTTATCTTCCAATAAACTAGAAAATCTTAAAGAAAAATTCCTAGAAATCTATGACCTACCTGAATTAAACCATTAGGATATAGAAAACTTAAACAGAACAGTATCAAGTAATAAAATTGAAGCAGCCATCAAAAGCCTTCCAACACAGAAAAGCTCAGAACTGCATGGATTTTCAGCCAAATTCTACCAAAACTCTTTAAAGATAGAAGAACTTTAAAGATGAGAAGAACCTGTTCTCCTCAGATTATTCCATGAAATAGAAAAGGAGGGAAGACTGCCAATCTCATTCTATGAAGCCTTTATCATCATTCTGAATACAAAATCAGACAAAGAAAAATCAAGAAAACTTCAGGCCAAATATCCTTAATTAACATAGATGAAAAAAATCTTAATGAAATATTGGAAAACAGCATACAAAAACACATTAAAAAAGATCCTAGGTCCTTGGCCCATTTATTGATTGGGTTATT